TAAGTATATATTTTATAACATGCACTAATAGAGTAATAAAATATATTGCAATAACAATATGCTCTGCCTGATAGAATTTCATCATGAGACTCCATTAACACATTCAGCTGGTATCAGCTTTTGAAAATGCCCTCCATTGTGGTGGAGGGGAAATACTCTATATAAGTGAATGGAGAAAATGGGATTCAAATAGAAATTTCTAGGAAGGCTAAGTAGAATGAGAAATACAGAAACATGAATAGATGCCGACCAAGCATTTTTTACATGGCTTGAAACTCTGGATTCTTTCTGCAGCTCCCTGTGCTCTCATAACACCCCAGCCTCTCACCTTTTACAGTCCAGCTGCTGCCCGCGTGCCTGAATGACACTGCTTTGCTAAGGTCACCAACAGGCTCTAACAGGCAACCCTAATGCCATATCTTAGTCTTTATCTGCCTCAAGCAGGCATTAGCCCTTCCTTTTTTCAATTTCTCTCTTCTCTTGACCTCTGTGAGGCTGGCTTTCCTGTCTTTCTGAATGATCCTCTTCAAGCACACTGCTCTCCTCTAGGGCTTCACGCTGCACACCCCTGCCCCTTCCCCGGGTGCTGTCCCTGGCTCGGTTCTCGAACCTCTCTGCTCTCTTTCCCTGGGGATCTCCATCCCCAGGGCTGACCTCTCGGTCTATGCCAATGCCTGTGAAACCCAGAGACTCAACTTGTCCAAAGCCAGACAATATTTCACCGGCTGCCAGGTCAGCTCTTCTTCTGAGGGTCATTTGCCCTGTGCTTTCACTCGAGTCTCGGTAACACCCCTGATCTCTTCTGTCACACCCAGCTGAGTCACTGATCCTTCCGTCACCAGCTCTTTTGCTTTTGTTCCTTGTATTTCATTCCTGAGTTCACTCTTCATTTCTGCTCCTGAAATCTTGGGACAGACTCCTAAATTTTTTCCTGACTTCTTCCTCTTCTTCTCTGATTCATCCTGCCCATTATTGGAAATCTATCCTCCTAACATTCTCTCAAGCCAAGGTCATACTAAAAACAACTCCAGCGATTCCCTATTGTCTGCCAATTAAATTTTATTAAAGTTTCTCTATGACCACGCTGTAATTTCTTCCTGGACTTATTTCCCACTACCTGTGTATATATGCTCTGCACTTGAGCCACATCTAATTGCTTGTAAACATAATAGTTAATGAATATTATTCCCACTAGCTCCCAGGTAGTGCAAATATGTAAACATATAAATGACTAAATAGCATAAGAAGAACACTTAATGTAGGTTACGTTAATGAGATGATTTTTGGAAAGCACATAAGGAGCTAGTGTAGCCAACCCTATGATTAGAGAGTTGGAATTTTCGGTTCCACCCCCCACCACCTCCCAGGACAGAGGAGAGAGGGGATGGAGATTGAATTCAATCTCCAATGGCCAACAATTTAATCAATCATGCTTATGTAAAGAAGCCTCCATAAAAACCCAAAAGGATGGGGCTCAGAGAGGTTCCAGGTTGGAGAACGCGTGGAGGTGTGGGGACATTAGCACACCTGGAGAGGACATGGAAGCTCTGAGCCCTTTCCCTCATACCTTGCCCTATGCATCTCTTCCATCTGGCTGTTTCTAAATTATATCCTTTCACAATAAACTGGTAATCTAATAAGCAAATGTTTTCCTGAGTTCTGTGAGCTGCTCTAGCACGTTAATCAAACCCAGGGAGGGGTTCATGGGAACCTCTGATTTATAGCCAGTCATTCAGAAGCACAGGTGGCAACCTGAACTTGTGACTGGCATCTGAAGTGGAGGACAATCTTGTAGGACTGAGCTCTTAGCCTGTGAAATCTGATGCTATCTCCAAGTTGATAGTATCAGAATTGAGTTGAATTTGTGGGACACCCAGTTAGTGTCCGAGAATTGCTTGGTGTGGGGAAAAAAAACTCACATATTAGAACTGGAAGCAAAATCTAAATACCCTTCTTTTTTGCAGAAAAGAACTGACAGCTTGAACCTAAATACCTGACTTTCTCTTCCCAAAATTAAAGGTCATTTAACATACATAGATTATACATGTATTCTTTTGATCTTAATTAACTCCTTGTCTGGCTTCACGTGTTTCTTGGCTAACATTTCCATCATCTTGGTCCCAGCCCATTAGACATATCTCTCAGCTTTTTCAGCTCTCCGACTCTTCAGTTAGGAGCCCCATTTTACACCAACTCCTTGCCTTTAACACACCATTTAACCCACCAGCAGCCTCCCCCTCCTCCCCAATCCCTCCCTCTCCACCCAATCTTAGACGTGCTTCAAACAGACCCCTGCCTTATGGCACTTTACCTTCTGATCTTTCCTTATTTACGTAAATACACAGTGCAACACATTCTATAATAGCTTACTGAATTTAAATAAGTAATATATTTACAATGGTGTGATTTTTTTTCTTATACAAGGCTGGGCTTCTGAAACATCACTGACTTTCTATGATACCTTGTCATTTAGATCATCCTTCAGGACTATTACATTGTTTTTAAAGTAGGAAATTCTTTTCTCTAGAACCCTCCGTTTATAAACAGGTACTTATTTCCCCTCAGGTCTACCATGCTCCATGAGCCAGGAGGATGTTGGGAACTCACATGTAGTGTCTGAGTGTTTGGTTCAGTTACAGTTGGGTAATTGCCTCTGACCCTGCACCTAAGCTGTGATCTCCAGTAGCTACAGGGATTTCCTCTACTACTGACCTGACTGAACCCATTATACAACTGGCACAGTCCGATAGCCCTAATGTGGAGAAAAGTGAGGGACAATTCTCTGGAGGCAGACAAGGGATAGATTTCCAACAAAAAGATTGATTACTTTCAGGCAACAGACTGTAATTTAGGGGGGAAAGCAGAGTCAATGAGGCTGACATAATGATTTTCTCTACAAGCACTGATGCAATTAACAATTCATTTTAATTGAAAAGGTGCAGGAACTCTTGGACATGTTCCTATGGCCTTTGTCACAAAATAGGAAATGGGAGGGAAAACCAAGTCAGGATTCATTTTGGTGGAAATGTCATGCATATTTAGTAATACCAAGTCTAGGAAAAAAATCATTATAGTAGATTCAAGAACTGTCATAAAATACCATAGGTTTGACCTGGCCGTGAGTAAGAATAACAAGCAATTTATTTACATGGGTTATTGAAGGTTATTAAGGAGACAGTTTCTCTACACTAAAAGCCTCTTTCATCATGCAGTCCTTGCCACTAAATTTTTGCCAAATTTTCCAAACAGAAATTCAGTTTATTAGGGGTAAAGTGTTATGACTATTGAAATCACTCCTTAAATGCAAAGGGCTATCACACTTTAGTAAGTGTGAGTATCCCTTAGGATGTTAGCTCTGAGATTCTGGTTCACTGGGTCTAGGATAGGACCCAAGAATTTGCATTGTCTTTAAGCATCCTCAATGAGTCTGGTATATGGATTGTATTTTGATAAATACTGCTCTAAATGTAAAGATTACACATGAATTAGGTATTAATTATTGAATGTCTTTGGCTTATCTGAAATAATTTTTTTTTCTAACAGCATGTTGGAAGATTAGAACACAAAATAGCTCAGTTTTAAGAGAGAATCATGGCAAGAAGAAAGTGTGCAGCATGGGACAGGTGTCTGAGAAGGCAGGTTCAGACTAGGTGTCTATGCAGGGAGTCCCAATTGGGTGATATCAGAAGTCAGCATAAAGATGTTGGGTGCATGTTTTAGACAGAGGGGCCAAGACTGAAGTGTGGCAATGAGGCGTCTAGGGAGGGACTACATAGGATTCAGTCTCAAGGTCATGCAGGAAAGAGTGTTTCCTTCTATTTTACACCCTCAGCACCTCACTCACTTCACTCTAGTCTTGGCTTTGGTAGACAGCTTCTGAAATGGTTCCCAATGATCCCTACCTTCTGCTATTTTTGCTCTTGTGAAATTCACTACTCTTGTGTGTGGGTTGGACCTAGTAACTTGTTTCTAATGAGTAGAACATAGCAAAGGTGATGGGATGTCACTTCCAAGATTAGGCTATAAAAGACTGTAAGTTCTACTATACATTCTCTCTCTCTTTTGTTTTCTAACTCTGACGAAGCAAGTCACCATTTGTGAGCTGCCTTACTGAGAGGCCTATGTGGCAAGAACTGAGGGTGGCCTCCAGACAGCAGCCAGTGAAGAACTGAAGCACTAAGTCCAATAGCCTCCAAGAAACTAAATTCTGCCAACAAGCACAAGAGTGAACTTGGAAGTGAATCCTTCCCCCTTTGAATCTTCAGATGAGACCACAATAACCAAGCTGACACCTTGATTGCAGTCTTCTGGCTCTGTGAGAGACTCTGAGCCAGAAGCTCCAGCTAAGCCATGCTCAAATTCCTGACCACAGAAACTGTGAGATAGTAAATATTGTTGTTTTAAGTCACTAAAGTTTTGGAGTAATTTTTTATGTAGCAATAGACAACCAATACAGTGCATAAAGATTTTGGTGGTGGTGGTGGTGGTGGGGTGTTGGTTGCTGAACCTGGAGAACAATGTGAACAAAGAAAAGTGAGAAGTTACTGAGGACGCACTGAACCCATATTACAATTTTGGCAAGGATGATCCTTTCTGCAGAGGTTGCTTCTTTTTCTTCTTTCCTGAAATTTGCCATGGTTCCCAGTAAGGAGACTATAATTAGTATTGACACTATCTTCCACACATCCAAGTTCTCTTCTGCCCAGCAGCCACAGTCACTAGAATACAAAAATTTAAATGTCTGATGTTGCAAGTGGAACAAGAACTCTAATACATTGCTAGTGGGAATGCAAAATGATGTGGTCATTTTGGAAAACACTATGGCAATATTTTATAAAGTTAAACCTAAATCTACCCTGTGACCCAGTAATCGTATTCCTAGATATCTATCCATGAGAAATTAGAATTTATATTCACACAAAGGCTTACATTAAAATATTATGTGTAATAGTCCAAAGCTATAAACAATTCAAATGTTCATCAACTAGTGAATGGATAAGCAAATTGTGGTGTGTTCATACAATGGAATGTTACTTGGCAGTGAAAAGAAACAAACTACTGATAAATGCAACATGATGAAGCTCAATAGCATCATGCTACATGAGAGAAGCCAGACAAAAAGGACTAGATATTCTGATTCCAAATATGTGAAATTCTAGAAAAGGCAAAACTGTAGTGATACAAAGCAGATCAGTGATTCCAGTGGGCTGAAGTTTGGGCAGGGAGATTGTCTACAAAAGAACACAAGGAAATTTGGGGGGTAATAGAAATGTTCTATATCGTGATTGTGGTGGTGGTTATGTGACTGTATACATTTGTCAAGACTCGTTGAACTTTAATTGAGTGTATTTATTGCATATAAATTGTACCTCAATAAAATTATTTAAAAAAGAAAAATGCTAAGTGTCCACATAGAATAAAGAATGAAAGTAATTCAAGTTCTGTTTCTTATCTTTACAATCACAGTGTAATAATCGTTCATTTCAAAACTACTGTTTAAATGCAAGAATATATAGTACTACTGTGGTTGGAGATATGTGAGCTCATATTGTGTGGGTTGGGAATTCTCTGAATTACTTTCCATGCAGAATAAAATGATTATTAAAAGAAGAGCAATAAAAATGTGCTACTTTGAAGCTTACATATATACTATTAAAACTCAACAGTAACCTCAGCAATTGTTTAAAACTTAGACCAACAAAAGATTTTGGGGAGAGGAATATTTTTTCACTGATATTGTTTAGAATTGCTGGCTCATGGTGATAATAGAAAGCAGACCAACTTTTAGTCAGCTTTATTATTGTTTTAAAATTCTTCACAGACAATGTGCCCCTTTGCCTGCACCTGGGATGGATTGCTCCTATCCCCTGTCCTTGATAAACTACTGCTACTCCTCATCAGTAGTTGTGGCTTCCTGGGACCGTAGAATAACATCACAAAGTTAGAGGCCAGTCTGATTTGCAGAATCTTTGAACATTTCATTATCCTTCAGCAAGTATTATTGATTGCCCACCACAGACCAGGCACTGTGCTAGGTGCTAGTAATTTCAGGTGAAATGGTCACTGATCTTGAGAACTTTAATTTAAGAGTGACATTGTGAGAGCAAGCAATGTTCCAACAGGTCCAAGTAGTAGACTTTCCTAAAAGTTACAGGTTGCCCTCTGTTCCCCTTTGATCATCTTTCTCAGTGTCCTTCCAGGTGAACACCTTTCTTCTAGCACCATAACCAATCATATTCCTCATAAGCTTTGGGTGTGGGGCTCAAGAGGGAGGGCGTTGTCTTTTCTGAAGGGAGAGTCAACAAGTGAGACTTTCTGCACCAACTTAGACCTGTTTGTCCCTCTTACAGGCCTGTGAGATTCACCTGCCAATTAGCTCTTAAAAGCTTCTATTGTAAACAAGGTGCTTCTGAAATTTGTGATGCAGGATTGCAGCTCAGAATCATAAATGGCCTCCTTGATATTCTGCATCATGCTCCAAGGCTTGTACAGCAAATATCTTTGCTCATCCAAAAAAGTCTAAGATAAAAGTGCATGCAAGAAGTTCAAAGCGATAAAAGCCCCATGTGGAAACAGTGGAAGGCTATTATAGTACAAGTTAGTCTACCACAAAACTCTGTACCTCCAGAGGGCAATCCTATAGGTACCTCCAGTTCCTTTTGAATTTTTTTTCTTCTTTTAAGCCTACTTAATGATTTTTAACTTACAACCTTAAAGCTACTTAGAGTATTGAGTCAGGGTGCAGATTTGCAGAGGTCAAGAAGCTTCTTTATGATTAAGTGCATGAACCCAGCAAGGTCACTATTGACTTTCCCAAGTCTTCCTGTCAGACTAGTGGGCCCACCACGCCCCTGCTTCCTCCCAAAAACAGTCAGACCAAATCTCAGAACCAGTATTGGGAGTTTTCAGAATCTCATTACAACTTTTATATCTTCTATGTTAATGGTTGCAGAGAGAGAAGATAATAATAATCATCAATGAGTTTTATTTTTCTTCTGGTAGTAGTGCAGAATCTTCCTTTCAGATCAATGTTAGCACATCCCTGTCAAGTAAGTTTATATTCCATCTTAACGGACTCCTTTTATGAGCATGACTAAGTGCTTGGCTGATTTGAATGAGGGAAGGAGGTTGAAGATTTAGAAAGAACATGAAGAAAAGACATTTTTTATTTTGACTTTATGTGAGCACTGGTGACTAATTTTTGACACACAAGAAAATCATTAGTGATGAAAATAACTATTAAATATAGCTAATATCATACTATACCATTTATGTGATGATCTGACTCACTGTTATCTCATTTTTTGCTTATTTGTATGGTCTCGTGTGCTTTGCTTAAAACCATTAAGGCCATGGAATGGTTAGACTTGAGACTAGTTCTTTGGGGTTATTTCTTGTTCTTCTGAGAGTTTATCTCAAGCTGCCAGGGGAAGGTATAGGCATGAATTCTCTTACCCAAATCAAGGTCAAATACAACTGTGTAGAATGAACCCAGCTGTGGCATGTTGACAAGTCCAAGTTTCAAGATGATGCAAAGGGATTGAGTCAGGCAAGAACCAGAAGATTTTAGGTCAAGTTGAATGCTGTTGCTTGACGGGGAAGAAGAGAGGAAGGAGGACATGGAAATACACAGTCCAGTTGCCGCTGAGGTGATATGGCTCCAGAAGCCCTGTATGCTCAGTGTTACCTCTGTGTTGGTCTACGTATTTTCAATATATGCAGGGAGTGGCTTATAGGGAAGGGTCACCTACTGACAGAGGACCTTGCACCTCTGGTCACTCATTCCCTTTCGCTGTTCTTGGGCCTTCTCTGGCTGTTCTCATTCAAAGGAAGTTTTTACTTTGAAAGCTTCAAAAGTCATTTCACTTTACAGATTATATTTGGAGTGAAAGTCTTGTTTACTCTTAGCTCCATTGCTCTTAAGCCTCTCAAATTGTTTTTGCTGATAATATTTATGTGAATGAAAGAAAGATTATTTCTAGGTGTGGGTTTATATTAGAAGTTATTCTTTTATTCATTCTCATTCAACAAATATGCACTAAGCACCCACTAGGTGCCAGGGGTACATGGGCAAACTACATGTTTCAGAGTGTGTGCAAAGCCTCGGTTCCTAAGGGATCAGAGCCCTGTACTCTGTACCCTGGGTCGAACCACAGACACAGGGAGTGCTGATGGCCAGGTTCTTGTCATGGCCGAAGCCTTCCGGGAGACGGCTCTTTGAGGAGGTACCTTGGCTGAGGCTCTCTTGGTTGACTCTCTAAGTACAGCGGCACAAGCCAAAGCCTCCTGTGCAGTAATATAGCCTAGGGGAAAGAGATGAGAGAAACGTCAAAGTCAACAATTTTACAAAGCAAATAAGCAAACAACACTGCAAATATTCACATATTCAAATATTCACATATTCACAAAATTTCTTCTACTTTACAGGGTAGAAAAAACTATGTGTAGCATGCCCAGATTATATGATGTTTGAGGACAGGAAGTATATTTTTCTTTCCTTGCATTTCTCATTCAATAAGTTAATAAATACTTAGTTGTTGATTAACACGACAAATCATTTGGAGAGGGACTTGAGCCATGAGGAATCTTCGCGTGAATTGCTTATCTTCAATATCAAAACTTTCTTCAAACCAGAAACAGATATATTCAATCTCTCTCAGTTTTTTTAAAGTGTAGTCTGCAGGCCACCTACTACAGAATCATCTGGCTGAGGCCACATTTAATAATGCTTTCTAAAAATGCAGATTTCTGGCTCTACTCCACGACCTTCCGAATAAGAAACTCAGAGAGTTAGGCCTGGAAATCTGCATTTTAATAACATACACAGGTGGATTTTATGTGCACTAAACATTGAATATCTCTGCTTCCGGCTTTGTTGGCTTCTGTGCAATTTTATGCTACAAACAAAGCTAGTAGATGATGCTTCTGCAATACTTCACACAATCATGGGGACCAGGCTGAATCCCAGCTCTGCTATTTACTAGTTGCATGACCCTGGTCAAGTTATTTAACTTATCCATGTCTTAATTTGCTCTTCTGTAAAATGTGGGTTATAAAGGCACCTACCATGTAGAGGGTGTTTGAGTTTTAAATAAGACAATACATTCAAAGGACTTAGAACTGTGCCCAGTATATAGGAAGCTCTAATAAAAGATAACTATTGTTGTTCTTGTTGTTGTTATTAAATCATTTGCAAAAACCATGTCTTCTTTTTGTGCAAATAGAGGAATGACAATATAAGGTAGATGTACTAAGGCCAAGTGAGTGGTTTACAAAAAAAAAGCTCTATGGGAGTTAGGAGAAGAGTGCAATAGAGGCTAGCTGGAGACTGACAACCTTTCCTAGAAGAAAAGGGATTTAACAACAATTACACCTCTCAGTAGGTTGTTGCTATAATCTATAATCTTTCACAACCATTATTTCGTTTGCACTTCATAAAATCCCATGAGGTTGGTAGAAGAGAGACAGCAAAACATGAGGGTGAAAATATGTGATCTCTGGAGGTGACAGTCCTAAATGACATTTATGATCTGATCAAGTTATATAACCTGCTTGATCTGTGGTTTTCCATAACCATAAAGTGAGGAGAAAATGAGATATTACATGTAGAGCTCCTAGCACAATATCTGGAACACAGTAAATGCTCAATAAATATAACTATTATTGTTGTGAGTAAACCAACCCTTTGAGTTTGCACAACCAGCAAGGGGCTAAGCTGTGGTTTGAGCCTAGACCATCTGCCTAAGCCCATTGCCATTTCTACTAGATCAAGTTCTTATAAATCTCAGATAGTTGTTGACATTTTATAACAATCCACACTCCAATTTCTTTTCTTTCCTTTTCTTTTTGTTTAGTGAGGAAGATTGGCCCTGAGCTAATGTCTGTGTCAATCTTCCTCTATTTTGTATGTGGAATGCTGCCACAGCATGGCTTGATGAGCGGTGTGTAGGTCCACACCTGGGATCCGAACCCACAAACCCCACGCCACTGAAGCAGAGCACGTGAACTTAACCACTATGCCACTAGGCCTGCCCCCATACTCTGATTTCTTTAAACCCTCTTAATTTGCTCATAAAACCTTGCTTTCTATTGTCAGGGATAATAATTTTTGAACTTGGCTTGCCAACCATGTTGATAAAATAGCACGCTGGCAGAGGCCATTCTTCTTGAATAATTTATCTGGAAACTTGACTTCCAGCTGCAGCACGAGTTCCTTTCTAAGGTGCCTGGTTCAGATTAGGTAGTTAAACTTACCGAGAAGTTGCTGGTGCTGAAGGCTGTGAATATAGCGGGTCTGCAGGGCCTCCCACTGGGGTCTAGAGTCATAAATCCTCATGATACTGTAAAAGTAGCGCTGCTGCCCTTGGGTTAGGTCCTGTTAGAGTGGAGCAGAGGATTTTAATGAGCTGGTGGCATTCTATAGGATTAAGAGTGTGATGTATTCAAAGCTGACTTCCAAAGAAATAAGATGTTTCTCTCTCTCTCTTTCTCTCTCTCTCTCTATATATATACATATACACACAACAAATGGAAACAACAATTCAGTAGTTTCCTCCCTTAGTTTACTTAGACAGTCTTCTGCTGGCCTGTGTGATGGTGAAAATGAGTAAGCAAAAGATTCTAGGTAAGTAGGTTGAAGTATTGGGCTGAGGGAGATCCAAGGATTTTTAAATTTTTTATTGATCTATTATAATCCTTATTGAGGAAGTAGGCTATGAGAATCTACAGAGGGCCTGACATATGCCAGGCTTCTGAATGGGTAAAAGAGAACTTTCCACTGAGAGTTCTCAGCAAGCAGGGGAGATAGACAGATGAGTAGATGGGAAATGTGATAAGGGTCCAACATCATTGGTAAAGAGGTGCTGTGAAAACAGAAGGAAAACAAACTCTGCCTGTAGCAGTCAAGGAAGACTTCCTAAATGAGATGACCAACATCTCCGAGTCTTAAGGGTGAGGAGGAATTTTCTAAAGGACTAGAATGCTGGTTCTCAAAGGACATCAGCATCACCTGGGGAGATTCTTAGAACTGCACCTTCTCAGGCCCCATCCCAGACCAACTGAATCAGAAACTAGGGGGTGGAGCCCAGCACTCTGGGTTGTAACAAGCCCTCCAGGTGATTCTGATACAAGCACACTAAAATTTGAGAACCACTGGACTAGAAAAAAAAGTAAGGCTAATTAGTGGGAGAAAGTGGTACAAATTTTCTTATGGGGCACAAAATATCTGGATATATTAGAACCAAACTTTTTCTTTACTTCAGCCAGAACATAGAATCTAAGCCAGAAAAGGCTGTAGAGTTAGACAGGAGAAGATCGTGGAAGCCTTTTATGCTATGTTAAGAATTGAAAGATTATCTTTTATATGAGGAGCCATTGAAAGTCTTTATTTAAGGCAGTGATTCTCAACAGGAGTGCTTTTGACCTCAAAGGGACATTTAGCAATGTCTGCAGAAATTTTTGGCTGTCACAAATGGTGGAAGAGGGGAGGGACACTACTGGCATTCAGTGGATAGAGGCCAGGGTTGCTATTGAATATCCTGCAGTGCACGAGACAGCCTCCCACTTCCTTGCAACAAAGAATTTTCCAACCCAAAATGTCATACTTTAAACTGACCAGATTTGCATTTTAGAAAGATTACTCTGGCCCTGCTGTGGAAAATGGGCTTAAAGGAAGACAAACCATTGGTAGAGACCATTTAGAAGGCTACCATGTAGTGCTAGGGAGGAACAAGAAGGCCTGCACTACAATTACTATTATATACCTAACGTATTTTAAGTGCTTATTATATACAGATGGGGAAACTGAGACAGCATCAACATTCTAGAAAACTCAAGATAAAATAACTTCACTCTAGGCCGAAAAATTCAAAACAACGACGGAATTTTCAAAACTAGTTGATGACCATGTATATAAAAACTAAACATGAGATAATTATATATAAAAGTAAAATAATTTTTATCTGCTAAAAATTTTATGTGGAGCTGAAATCTGTGAGTCAGATTTTTTTGGGGAGGTGGTCTAGAGACCTTAAACTTGACATCGAAACTATATCCAGAGTGAAAGTAGCTGAACCAATTCCTCACAATTTGAGACATCATTTCCACTTTGCAGTTTCTGAATTAGACGTTTTAAAAGATAACATATTTGAAGAAGAGAATGGATTCCTAATTAAGCCTTTTCAAATGATTGAGAACAATATAATATGAAAATTGCAAGCCAATTTCAAGAGCAAATCTCCAAAGTGTAATGGGAGTTTCCATTATATAAGACAAAACCTTAAAAGTTAATGGTTTTATTTTATGAGGAAAAAAGAAATGCCTCCTTCTTTTCCTTAGTAGAACTCTCAACTTCCTAAATGAGAAGTACCAGGTAGCATTCCTAACATTCTTATCCCGTTGCTTGAGGGAATGAAAGAGAATCAAAATTTTTCCAAAGAATATTTGTGAGAATGGCTTTAACTAACTTTGACCAAAAGGAGCTAACAGAGCTCTCCAGCTGGGAGCCACAATGTGGCCAATCAGGGAGTTTCCCACCACTGATAATGGGTCAGCAACGAAGGTGTGACCATCTACTGGAGCTCCTGAAATGGGATGGGTATAGGATTAGATGATCCAAGTGCTCATTCATTCACTCATACACTCCGTCAACACGCACTGTGGGCCTCCATTGGGCCCAATGTTCTCCCTAATGCTGGGTAAGCAAAGACCGGAGAAGTCCTTAAGGTTTGAAGAAGAGACAGACAAGGTCTCTCCATCTGTGAAAGTATGTTGTACCTTCAGTAATGAAGTGTCGGAAGCAGAGGGAGGGACTCGAATGCGAGGAATCTGTGGAACGTTCCGAAGTTTTTGTTGTCTTTTCCGTTTTCCTCCCATTCTTTCTCCTGTACTTCCAAGGAACAACAAAATGTAGCATAAAAATTTATCTTGTTCAACCAATTTTGGGGATGTACACGAGAAAGCAAGTAAACAGATACATAGATAAATGTCATTTATTTCAAGAGATAAGAAATTTTCTCACGTCTCTAAGTAGTTGGACCTCACCAGACTGCACTTCTCCCTCTTCTCACCCCTTATTAATGGAAGGAACAATTTAGAGCCCTTTGTCTTTCTGCTTCACTCTGCATTTGGAACAGGTGGGTTGTAGAGCCATACCGCGTCACAACAGTTATTTCTTGATGATGTAAAGTAATGTTTATTATCTTATATGATTCTAAAAGTAACATATGTCATTTTGGAAAATTTGGAAAATCTTAAAAATTGAAGAATTGAAGAATATAAGATCATCCATAATCTGTCTGTAACTATTGTTGGCATTTGATTGATTTGCTTTTATTCTTTGTTTTCTGTGTACATCATGTGTGGTTTTAGAAAAGGGAGCTCATACTCTATGTGTTGTGCACTTTCCCATCTCATTAAATATTCCTTGAAAATATGATTTTTCGTGGCAGAATAGTATATTTTTACATCATTCTCCATTTCTTGCACATTTAGACCTGCAATTTTGCAGCACTGTACTATACAAGAAACTATTAAACCTAGCAGTGTTTCTTATTATTTGCCTGACAAAGATACAAAATGAAGGAGTCACACCTGCTATGAGTAAGTCTCCTTTTCATGTGGTTTAGGGTTTAGAATCTGAGGTGTATATAATAATAGAACATTTAACAATCAAGGAAGAATAGACATATTGGAATAGGATTGCCATGGCACAGAGTGGAAACCCCTAGCATTTTCCCCTCTGCTCACTCCTTCACCCTTGTCAACAATGCCTACCTCATGGGGTTGTTTGATTAACTGAGATCGTGAGTACAGAATGCTCTCACTTTATGCCAGTTCCTACACTCTCTTCCCTCCTCTGTTTTTTTGTGTGTGTGTGTGTGTGAGGAAGATTAGCCCTGAGCTAACATCTGTTGCCAATCCTCCTTTTTTTGCTGAAGAAGATTGGCCCTGAGCTAAAATCCGTGCCCATCTTCCTCTACTTTATAGGTGGGATGCCGCCCGCAGCATGGCTTGATAAGCAGTGCGTATGTTCTCGTCCGGGATCCAAACCTGCGAACCCAGGGGCCACCGAAGCAGAGTGCACGAACTTAACCACTATGCCACTGGGCCAGTCCCATCCCTTCCTCTATTTTATGCTCAGGCACATGCACACATATGAGCACACACACATACACACACTTAAGAAGTATTTTAACATGTGAGAAGACTCCGATTGGTTCTGAGTTCACAGATCTAAGGCTCAGATCTTCCAGAAGAGAAACTTATTAGGAAAACATCAGTCAACATCTCTGTGTGTCCTGTTTCCACGATATAAACTTATAAATTAAACTATAAATATTTTATTTAATACCACTTTCCTTCAACATGCACTCCAGAAACCGTACCAACCAAGATATACTCTTTTAATATCCTCTGTGATAAAAGCCTACACTCTATCCTATGCTCAAATCATCTCAATATCCCTCCTCCCACTTTCCAGATCTGTAGAACAGAGCATAAATAGTCTTCAAAGCTGGAAAGATTTCTTCTTTCCTAAAATAGCATAAGGAAATGACTGTCAATCTTTCTTGTGGCAACAATTCATGTGTGTTTTTCTTGGGCTATTGTAGAGGAAATCCATCTTACCTATTCAAGTGGTCTATATCTGATGAAGTTTGATTAAAATGCTTGGGAAATTCAGGGAGGAAAAAATCTACAAAATAACATATCTGAAACAAAAAGACAGATTTGCTTAAAAGAAACTTACCCTGTATTGTAATCTCCCCTTTTTAAAAGCTGGTATTCGTATTCAATGTAGTTTTCTTGCAAGGTCTCTTTCTTCATGCGATGGTGGCAGTGGAAATTCAGTCTGTTGATAAGCTGATATCCAAGCAACATCATGTGATGAAACAAAGAGCTGGGGAAATTTGGCTGCATGCCTTTCCTTGCTTCTGGACAACATTCAACTGCACAGTTTTTTTCTTCCTAATTTTGTGTCTAATCAAGTGTCAACTTTAAAATCTACCCTATCTGTGTTATGTGCAGGCATGGGGGAGGAAAGTGCATGGAGACAGAGAGGCTGATTATTAAAGGTCAAGAAATCCATCACAGCAACAGACCATTACATGAATATTTCCCAGATTCAGAGTCAGTAGCCCCCATCTCGATTGCTCATAATGATGAAGGTAAAGTTCCTAAATATAGAGGTACATGAATATGACTCTGGTAATCTACGGAATTGTCCCATAGTTCAAAATATGTTCTTTTTTTTTGAAAAGTAAGATATTCTCCATATTTGATTTTGGATAGAGCTACAAAAGATGATAATGAACCTATGGCACAAGATTCCTGCCCACATCGACCTCGTCAGCATAAGCCTCATGTTTTAACCTGACTCATAAGGACAACATTATCCCTTCTTCTGGCTAGCATTATGACTACAGACTTCCTTTCTTTCTTGAGAATCCTCCTTCTGAATGCCAGCTTATCTGTAAAGATGAAGAGTTCCTAGAGAAAATGGAAGAAGAAATACCAAAAGAAAACTATAAATTCAAAATTCTTAGGAGGTTAAGGTAAAGAAAAAAACAAGGAGATAACAGTGATGAATTGCATGGGTTAAAGAAGAAATGAAAGACTCAACAGACACAAAAAGTTTGCATTTTTTCAATAATTTAAATGCAGACTTTCTGGGGAATAAACGTAGCACAAACAAGAGTCTGTAAATGCCCGTAAATACCTCAAAACCTCTCACTGGATCCAAGAGGTTAGTGATTCTCTCCTGAGAGTTGATGAACAGTTGTACTGTAGAGTTGACATTGTCAATTGAATCTTCCTTGAATGTTTCCCAGGATATGATGAAATGCTTTCTAGGGCATACCACATCTGCTGACTGTTACACACACATGCTGATTCATAGCAGTGGACATTAGTCCCTGCCCAACCAGGAAAACAGAAACAGATCTAGGTGTTTGACAGAGAGGGAATTTAATGTAAGGAATCTATTACAGAAGTATTGGAATGGGCTAGAGGAGCAAAACAAGAAAGATTAGCTTGTCCAAAGATTGGGAATTACACTCAACTACTACCATACCAGGAGCTGGAGGACAAAGGGAAAATGTGTTTCCCCAGAGTCCATGAACACTGTGCCATTGAGGCTGTTTCCACAGGGACACTGCTGCCTGGGCAGCACCTCAAGGTCAGGCACTCACTAGCCACTCTTGCGTCATGTTCTTCCCAACACTGCTAATATTACAGTTGCTATCACCACCATCACTGCCCCTGCTGCTGCTACTGCTGATGTGGTTGGTGATGCTGCCACTGATGCAAACAGATGCAAGCAGGAATCATGAAGATGGCCTCTCCTTTCCTCCAGCTTTCCATCGCCTGCTTCCGTTGGATGCTAGCTGGCGAGAAATTTTGTCAAATGTATTTTGCAGTCTTCCCGCTACAGTGGTAAAGAGAAGGATATAGAGGGGTAAGCATGAAGCTGAGAGATAGTGGACATCCCAACACATGGGAATACCATCAACAAAAATCTAAAGGGATTTATAAAGTCTGGCGGAAGGCTGAAGGACTTAGACATACAGTAAATGTTTGCCTAGTACCACTAAAGTTTGAAATTTTATAAGAAAAGACAAAATAAGAGATAATTAACTAGCTCTACAGATGGTGTCAAAGAAAAAGGTATGAATTTTTGGACAATAACTTAAGATTTAAGAATGATGAAACAATGTGTATCATCAGTTTTAGATAAAGAAATAGTTTTTCCAAAGACTAGCTAGACTTTTCAAGAGGAATTAAAACTGACTATAAAAAAAGTGAATAGAAACACCCATCATCTAATCATTATAGAGAATATAATTTTCTATTAGACAATTGGTAGAAATTGGTAATTGGTAGAAAAGACGCATACTATTTCATAGATGAAACATTGGTACAGCAATGGGACACAATACTTGAGACATTGGTATATCTACATTCTAATGCTTAGACTGGGTAATAAAGTGTTTTTATAGGATAGTGGGGTAAATATGACCTCATGGGCATTACTGAATGAAGAAGACAGACCCATGACTGGAACCCAAGATGAGGTTAAACCCTAATTCAAAGAATCTAGTCTGCTAGAACAAAAGGCAGAGTACTGCTGTATGTCATGAAGATAAGTACTTCCCTGAAATATCAAGAACCCAAGAGGAAATTATCTGCTCATATCCTGGTGCTCCTGCTCCTTTTCCAGGATCCCTTAGCTGCAGAGCTCTCCATGGGGCTAACTCTGCCAGGCACAGATGTCCTCCCTTGACTACCTCAAGCCCTCAGAGGGTGTCAGTGCATCATGACGAAGTGAAGGAAGTGTCCTTTTCTCCACTCTGTGTTGCTGCTTATCACCCGGTCTCCTGAGTGTCCCCACTTAGAGTTCTCACAGTCTTTGTTGGACTCTGCTTTCTCATAGGGCTACATAGTATGTTGGGGTCAATCTCATTTGGTTGGGATTAAGGTGGGGGTTGATTATTCCCCTGTTATCTTGTTTTTTGCCTCTGATCTCTTCACAGAAAACTTTCATTTCTCCAAGATCCCAAAACAAAAACTCTCCTACATACCAATCCCTTAGGGGTCACTGGTCTCAAAAGTGAGAAAACTTAGAGTCCCAGTTTGGGCTATAAGAGCCACTTTTAGTGAGTGAAACCTACTTTGGACACAGAAGCAGTGATTATAAGCAAAGGAAAAGCTGGGTATGACCACATATGTGCTAAGGACTTTTGTAAAACAGATTTAAAAAGTTCCGAAAAAAATCTAAAATGGAATATAACTCAAGAAGGATATGTCCAGAGATTTAATTCTGACTCTATAATCCCAAATAAAGGCTATGGAAGAAAGAGGTAAGATATCAAAAGGACCTAGAGTAGGTGCACTGGGAGCTTGCAGACCATTCTAGACTTAAGGCCAGGTTATTTTTAAAAATTGTAGGATTTTACTAAGAAGTTTTTTCATTAGAGATTAGCAATGGTCCTCTTAAAACAGATCCTATGGCATAGCTATTAAGTAGTAGAGCCAAGACTTAAACTCATGGTTTCCTGAAGTCTATGATTTCTCTCCTTGGACTCTGGAACTAAAAGGGAATTCAAGCAACACACACATTGCTGTAATAGAAAATTACTCCTATCCAGCCATCACCCACAGACAAAATTCATGTAGCTTAATTCTTTCTGTCCTTGGGGTGTGTTCTGTTCCCATCTGGAGTACTCCTTGGTTGAGTAAGAGTAGGCTTCAGTTTCACAAAGACTTATGGTCATAATTCTGGAGCTAGATCTTATTATACCAAGTCATTGACCTTCTAATAAGGCTCCTGGGAAGGCTTCATGCAGATAGATATCTAGCAGGCCAGTCCCATCAGTCCTCAAACCTGCCCAGGCATTTACACATTCACAGAAGACACGGGCATGAAGCTTAAGATCTTGCCCATGAAAACACTCTTTATATGTATTCTGATTTTTTAAAAAGTAGATTAAATAAAAATACCATCTACCACTCAACAATAGATAAGCAGAGCAAATTTATTTTATTTTTTTATTGAGTTATAATTGACATACAATAATATTAGTTTCAGATGTACAACATAAAGATTCTATATTTGTATATATTGCAAAATAATCACCACAATAAGTCTAGTTAACATCCATCTTTATAAACATTTAAAAGATCAATACTGACAGTTATGTTTTCAAACAATGTCATTTGTTGTTGTTGTTGTTAATAGGGGTAGGGTTCTGGGACTTTCAGATGTTGTAGACTTGGTATTTCTACAATTGATAAGGTACCCTTGTGAAATGCTCATTGACAGATAAGTACAATTTGAAACTTGTTAAAAATCTATACTAGGGGTGCTGATTAATGGGTCAATGATAACCTGAATAGGTTTTTGGTGGCATGCCCTGATCTATTCCACAGTTTTACCAAGGTGTTGAATGAAGACATAATAGGCAAGCTTATTAAGTTTTTGGATGACAAAGATCTAGTTTCCAGATGACAGAAATCTAGGTGGGATGGAAAAGAGTGGATGGCAGAATCAGAATACAAAAAGATCTGGAAATGTAGTAACAATAAAAACAAGATTCTGCATCAGAGCTTCATTTCTAGTTGGAAAAAACACAGAAAAGGAATTTGGAGTTTAGTAGCAATTCAGGCATAGGGGAAGTAAATGCAGAATGAGTTAATGAGGCTGCCAGAGGGATTCATGAGTGCATAAGCTACATCAACAGAAGTGAGGTTTCTAAGACAAGGGAGAAGCTGGGACTGCCCTGGTGTGCTTTGTGCTGCAGTATTGGGTCCGCAAAAGGGATATAGGCTAACCGGGGTGTATGGTTAAAATAGAGGTGCTATGTCATAAGATGAGCTGGCACATACATAAGCACTATCGCGTCTGGAAAAGACCTATGGCAGAAGGGGTGGGGGTAGGCAATGATGCCTAACAAAATATTTAAAGGGCTTACACATTTAAGAGAGATTAGACTTACGCTGAATATCCCTAAAAAGTAAAAATTAGAATCAATAAGTAGAAACTACAATGGATACAAATTTCTGTTGAAATGAACAACCTCAGGAAAGAATGAGCTCCCCACTCCAGAAGTCTTAAGAAAAATAGACTCACTTGATGAGAATGCTGTACAGGATATTTAAGCATTACATTTGGGTCACTGATCCTATAACTCGATTATTCCAAATGCCGTATGTTAGCCAAAATATATTACCAGCACTCCCATTGCACCATCTGCCCCTTCCTGATGCTGTCTGTCCTTCTGTCTATAAGTTTCAACATTCTATGCTTTAATAGAAACAACAAAATTGGCCAATTCTTATATAACTGTTCCG